ACACACACACAGACACAGACACATACACACACAGACATCACACAGACACACACACAGACATACACACAGACACACACACAGACACAGACACACAGACACACACACAGACATACACACAGACACACACACAGACACAGACACACAGACACACACACAGACACACACACAGACACAGACACACAGACACACACACAGACATACACACAGACACACACACAGACACAGACACACAGACACACACACAGACATACACACAGACACACACAGAGACACAGACACACAGACACACACAGACACACACAGACACACACAGACACACACAGACACACACAGACACACACACAGACATACACACAGACACACACACAGACACACACACAGACATACACACAGACACACACATAGACACACAGACACACAGACACACGCACAGACATACACACATACACATACAGACACACAGACACATACACACATACACACACAGACACACAGACACATAGACAGAGACCCCCACACACAGACACACACAGACATAGACACACACACACACACACACACACACACAGCCAGCTGCAGGGAGGCAGAGGCTTTCCAAAGGGATTGTAAACAATGAGCTCACAGTCCCAAGCAGCCCAGCCCTCCACAGCTCAGCCAAGAAAACAGTCTCAGTGGTGACAGAAGGCACGAGGCCACTCTGGGTCAAGGAGACAGGTTGGTGGGGCTGAGCAGTCAGGCTCACAGGTTGGGAGAGCCTTTTAGAGCAGTCCCTCAGGACCGGAGAAGCTCACACACAGCCAGCTTGCTTTCTACCCTGGCTTCGAGTCCTTAGCACCTGCTGCAACAACCAGCCCACCACTAATAACCAACTCCAGAAACGAACACGGCAGCGTCACAAGGGTGGGTGTTTGAAAGGCGTCAGCCAATCTTTATTCCCTCCATGCCTCTGCTCTGGATCCCCACACACATATGGGCTGGTTCTTCAGAAGTTGCTAGGTCCGGGACACTCACTCCCTACACTGTCAAGATGGTTAATATTGACTGTAAACTTGGTAAGGCCTGGAACCATCTAGAAGATAGACCTCTGGGCATATCTGTGAGGGAGTTTCCACACTGAGCAGGCTGCACCATTCCAAGGGGTGGGATCCCAGCCAGAATAGAAGAAGTGAGCAGAGCAGCAGATCTCTCTCTCTCTCTCTGCTAACCCTGGATGCAGTATGACCAGCTGCCTCCCACTTCTGCCAACATGCCTCCCCACTGTAATTGACTACACCCCCAAACTGTGAGGCAAAATAGCTTTAATACAATCATAAACAGATTTTCCTGTACCAATATGGCAGCCCCAGAGCACCAAGACCCATGGACAGCTGGTTGACTTTGTAATGTCTGAATGAGCTGGACAGATTCTCAGAATTTATTCCCTGTATGTTTTCCGTCAGATGTGGAGTGAGGATTGTTTCCATAGTTCTCTGATGGTGAAAAGTGTCTGAGTGACGAATCACCTTGACCAAAGCAAGTTGGGGAAGAAAGGTATTATTAAGCTTGCAGTAACTTCAGCATTGCTGGTCACCCTCAAAGGAAGTCAGGACAGGGACTCAAACAGGACAAGAAGCTGGAGGCAGGAGCTGATGCAGAGGACATGGAGGGGAGCTGCTCACTGCCTTGCTCACCATGGCTCGCTCAGCCTGCTTTCTTAGAGAACCCAGGACCACCAGCCCAGGGATGGCCCCACCCATAAAGAACTGGGCTCTCCCCCACCAATCACTAATTAAGAAAATGTATTACAGTGGATCTTCTGGAGGCACTTTCTCAATTGAGGCTCCCTCCTCTCTGATGATTTTAGCTTGTGTCAAGCTGACATGAAACTAGCCATGACAAAAGGACTTCCCATATTCTACAGAGTTCTCAAATAAGACGAAAAGCAGAGATGTCACTTGTGTGTGGTGGTGCACAACCTTGACCCAGCTCACAGGAAGCAGAGGCAGGAGGATCAAGTTTGGGACAAGCGGTCTACCGGTCAAGACCCTATCTCAAAACACACTAGGAAACAGACAAACAAACAAACAAACGATGCAGCTCAGGGCTGGGCTTGTAGCTCAGCTGGTACAGTGCTTGCTTAGCATTCACTAAGTCCTAAGTTTGATCACTTAGTGCCGAATGGTGCTTCATGCATGAAACCCCAACACTTGAGGGGTGGGTGGAGGCAGGAAGACCCAAAGGTCACCCTCAACCACCTCGTAAGTTCTCAGGAATCCTGGCGTCTGGAAACCCACCCCAGATGGGTGGTTCAGGCATAGGCAAGCCTAGCCTGTCACACTGGTCAGGTGCTTGCAAATTCCACTAAAGAAAGCTGCACTGGGCATGGCGGGGAGCTTTGGACTTTAGCCTATGGATTCTACGACACTTGCCTCGGGATGAATCAGGACTTAGATACTCAGGCACGCTAAAAGTCAGAGAGCTCTGCCAACCTTTGAGGTAAGATGCAAGAAAGACCCTCAGAAGCAGGTGAGCAGAGGAGGTGACGGCCACTGAAGCACGCACGTGTCGCTGCTGATGCACCTCACTGGTAGGAAGGGGCTGTGGTTGCTCTATCTTCCTGGTTTTCCATCCAGCTTTCTTCTCCCACAGTTGTGGGCCATGCCTCAGTTTCTCCAGCAAGCCTGTTCCAACTGTCAGAAGCAACAGGAGTTAACATGGATGTAGTCTACCTTCATGCACTCTTACTTTGGGCTTATTTGTATCTCCAGTGGGTATCATCCATCTGTCCTTCCCAAAAGTCCACCCAGAGGTAGAGTATTCTCAGCCATTCAATGGGCTAGCTGGATGTTTCAAGAATTCCTTCCCTGGGGAGACATATGCATCTTCTATCTCCCCCACACACATAAGGTCCCAATGACAAACCAAAGTAGGAGTCCATCACCTTTCACTCTGGGCAACCAAAGAGTTTAAGCTTTGTTGTGGGATATTACTTTAAATATGTAAAGATGTGCTAGAATTGTTTATTCTGTGCAATATGACTTTAACTATGCAAGCTGTATTGTATTCATTTATGCTTCATTCGTTTAGCTGTGTAAAGATGTGTTGCTGTTTCACCTTGCCTGCCTAAGTCACCGGATTGGTCTAATAAAAAGCTGGACAGCCAACTGCTAGTCAGTAGAGGGATAGGCAGGGCTGGTGAGCAGAGAGTAAGTAGGAGGAGGAAGCTGGGCTCAAGAGAGAAGAAAGAATGAGGGAGAAAGAGAGAGACACCAGGGCCAACCAGCCAGCCAGACACAGAGGAAGCAGTGAATGTAGGACACACAGGATGAAAGGAAGGTAAAAAGCTCCTGGGCAAAACACAGCTGAAGAGGAAACAGGCTAAATTAAGTTATAAGAGCCAGCAAGAAATGAGCCCAAGCTAAGGCTCATTCATGACTCATATTGACTCTCTGTGTCATGATTTGGGAGCCCAACAGAAAGCCTACCACATTTATTTTGTTGTTGCTGTTTTCAGGGTGAAAACCTGTGAGCTCAGAGAATTAGAGTAGCAACTGGCTGTTTTTCTCTCATAGCTGGTGTCCCAGGAAGCCTCTCTCCTCCCTGCTACTTCATGCAACCCCACCTCTCTGAGTCCTGGTTAATTTTATTTAATTAACACAAACGCAACACATCTTTACATAGTTAAACAAATGCGGCATAAGCAAATGTAACACATCTTTGTCTAGTTAAGCAAATATTCCACAGTAAACCTTACTTACAGGGTGGGAGAGGGCTGGCAGTGATGTAGCTGACCCTAAAGCAATTGTAGTGAAAATGTTTCACCTAGTGAGAATGATGACTCCCTGCACAGACAGAACCCCTCTCCCTTAACCCTCCTAAGATTCAGAAGACACCTGCAACCAAGGCAGAATTGCGTATAAATGGCTGGGAGGAGGGGCTAGTATGTCAGGGGAAGGTCAAAGAGCCTCCACACCCCTCATTTCTGCAGGAACTGTCAGCAGTCAGCACACAGCACAGATTCTTGCAAGCAGGCACAGCTGGTCCGATAAAGATGGCAGCTGTTTGCTTGAAGGACCACATTTTACAACACTGGAGGTGCACACCAGCCGCAAGTAGATGGACAGCTCAATAAGCAGGGCCAGTTTCCCACAAGAAGGACGGCACCAACTACATACCAGAGACCTCCACAAGTCTTGAAGAACAAGGATCCTTGGACATCTCATAAGCCTTAAGCATGTGGGGTGATCCGGCTGCAGCATCTGTCACTCCATTTGGCACCAGGGTCAATCCAGCTGATCTTCCAGCTGATCTGGCTGGCTAGGCAGGTGTCCCTTTCTTTCCTCACCACTCTGAGTGTCTTCCTCCTGAAGCTGTGTGCTCAGCTCAAAACGGTGACCTTCTCTAATCAGGATGGTTGGTCTCAGGTCAAGTGTATACAAGTAGATGCACTCTTTTGATAGTACCTCCGAATAAGCTCCCATAATCCTTGAGGCAGCTGTTGAGGTGCTCAGTGACTGGCTCTGACAACTCCCAGTGAGCATGTGCAGAAGTTTCTCCTAGGTGATAATTCAAAGCTATAGCATAAGAGCCTCCTTGACGTCAATGGACGCTGCCCAGCTGTTCACCTGCCAACACCAACTTGCACTCCTGCTAACAGCACTGAGAGGTCCCTTTTCCTGTGTGTTTGAGCGAATTGTACTTAAGCTATTGAAACTTTTAAATAGTTTAGCTTCTCTGTGTCTAGATTCCTTGTTGTGGTCCACTGACTTGTTCTCCCTCGTGTGCCAATACCACGAGTTTTAGCTAGCAGTTACCCGCCTGATAGCATGAAGAGACAGGGGGACCTCTGGGAGGTGGGGACTACGGGAGGTCACAGGCTATTGGGGTGTGCTCTTGACAGAGGTACCAAGCCTTGGTCCCACCTTCTCCCTCCTCCTTCTTGTGCCTCAGCCTGCAGTTTTCATCCGCCATGTTGTGTTGGGGCCAACTAATCACAGACTGAAATATCTGAGACCACGAGACAAAGTAAACATCTCTTTATAACTTAATTATCCCAGACATTTGCTACAGTAACAGGTGCCATTACTGATTAACATGAAGTATGGAGGTAGAGGGATTTCTCGTCTTGATCCTAATAGTTAATGCATCTTCTTAATTCCTTTGCGCTTCTGGAAGAACTGACGAACAGCTTCCTGGGGCCTGTGGAAGGACGAGTTGTAGCTTTGAATATGACGCTGGCAAGTTTGTAGATGAAGTTGAAGAGAGCTGACTGACATTTTCGGTTCTCTCTCCGTCTGGGATGCAGCTGTGTCTGTCCAGGTTTGGTGTTCCTGCAGTAATAAGATGCCAGATACCTTAAAGTTGTTTTTCTTTGTGGGATGCCGTTTTTCACTTACCAGATTGGCAAAGATCAAAAAAGTTAACAACACTTTCTCCTGGTGAGATTGTGGGGAAACGTGTGTTTAAATTAATGTGAAGTCTAGAAGGGTCTGAGAGAGTCCACCCCATGTCACACCTAGCCTGTGGGGCTAGGATGGCCAGCTAACATTCTTGGTTACACATAGATGCCTCACCTCAGACTTAACCTTCATCTTGTGGGGTTTCTCCCCATGCTGTGTCACTGCCCAGTTGTCCCCTCTGAGAGGACACCAGTCAGATTGGACTAAAAATGCTCTTCTGACACCATTTTATCTGATCATTCAAAGGTGTGTGTGTCCTGAGAAGGCCCCATCCCAGGTCCAGAGGAAGGGGTAAGTTCTCCATGTCTAAGAGGACAAGATTCAACCCATCCCAGGAACAAAGTGGGGTGAGGGGAACAGACGCTGAGCCTCCTGATGGGTGATAGAGGAAAGGGCATGGGTTTTAGGCACTAGTACCCCAGAGAGCTCACGAAGGGAAGCCCTGAGATGCTGGGCCGCAAGGAGCCGCAGGAAGTCTCCTGTTTCTGGGACCAGGAGGAACAGGTGACTAGAAGGGTTTTTGTAGTCTATTTGTGGAATCCATGGCTTGGTTAGTTTTAGTTCTGGTGGACAATGGAAGAAGGATGAATAGTTTTACTTCTAGGGGTTCGCTGAAAGGAGGACTCTGGCTGTAAGAGAAGAGAAGCCGAGGCCAGTGAAAACGCACTGCTGGTGTCTGGAGAGGGCCGTGCAGGAAGGAGGTGTGTGTGGGAAACAAGGTGACATCCAAGCGAGGAGCTGGGAGCAGGCAGAGCAGAGACGGCAGGACCTTGGAGCCTGCAATTCAGAAAGCTTCCTGCTCCCTCTAATCTAGAGTGATGCGAGAAGCCTGGACCGCGGGGCCCCTTTAACACAGTGATACCTTGGCAGGACCCTTGAGAATCCATTGCAGTGAATGTCCCAGGATCTTAGAGGGATCCGAGCCTGGGTTGTTCCTTGGGGACTAAGGAGCCCAGTGGCTGAGCCTGGTGACTAAGCTCCCCGGTGACAGACACACCAACACTGTCTGTTGCATCCCTGACACAGCAGCCAGAACACCACAAGCATTTCCTGAGTTTACTGTCTATTTTGGAGGACCTAAGAATCAACCCTTAACATGTCAGCCCCCGATTATGGGCTGTGTGAAGCCATGGGGAGCTGCTCTCAACCCCAGAGAGCAAGAAGACACTCAGACCTCATACTACCCCGGTCATAATGGCCATATGGCGGTCTCTGCATTCAGTCACCAAATCTCTATGGCGCAGCTTTTCTATGTAGGGTTAAGTGTGTGTGCGTGCGTGTGCGTGCGTGTGTGTGCGTGTGTGCATGTGTGCGTGCGTGCATGCGTGTGCGTGTGTGCATGTGTGCGTGTGTGCGTGTGTGTGTGCGTGCATGTGTGTGTGCATGTGTGCGTGTGTGTGTGCGTGCATGTGTGTGTGTGTGCGTGTGTGTGTGCGTGCATGTGTGCGTGTGTGCGTGTGTGCGTGTGTGCGTGTGTGCGTGTGTGCGTGTGTGTGCGTGCATGTGTGTGTGTGCATGTGTGCGTGCGTGCGTGCGTGTGCGTGCGTGCGTGTGCGTGTGTGCGTGTGTGTGCGTGCGTGCGTGCGTGTGTGTGTGTGTGTGTGCGTGTGTATGTGGTCACTTGGAAAACAGCTGAAACAAACCACCCTCGGGCACTGATGAGCATGTGTCTCGTATGGGTGAGTGAGAACACCAGACATTCCAGAGGCCTGAGTATTTAACCTGTCAGGTGTTGAGGGAGCCACATCCTCAAGAAAGACAGCAAGAGGCTGGGGTGCTGTGAGTGGGCAGAGATGTTGGATTTGGAAAAGAGGGCCTGGGCAACTCGTGTAAACATGGAAGTGGAATGTGAAACACAGGACCACATGGCTGCATCCTGAGGAAAGGGACTGCACTGCAGTTTGGCTAAGGAAGCAGATGAAGGCCTGGGCTGGGATGTGTAGTGAGTTTGAGGTGAGCGTGGCAGGAGAGGAGGGAAACGTTCTGTCCCAGAAGACGATGACACTACCCTCCGAGGTTTCCAATCTGAAACCCTTGGTTGCCTCATTCTTGTCGACTTTACGGCGTCTCAGAAAATCTGGACTGCGTATCCCAGGGTCCTGGCCTCTTGATCTTGAAGGGCATGCAAGCTTCCTTGACCCCGCCCAACTCTGCCCCAGCTCCTGGCATGCCTCACTTCCCAGGCCCGGCCTCCTGTCTCACACAGCTTCAGCAGATCCCGGTGTGCTCCCTCTACCCCAGAGTGCTCCCCTACCCCAGAGTGCTCCCCTACCCCATAGTGCTCCCCTACCTCGGTGTGCTCCCCTACCCCAGAGTGCTCCCCTACCCCAGAGTGCTCCCCTACCTCGGTGTGCTCCCCCTACCCCAGTGTGCTCCCTCTACCCCAGTGTGCCCTCATCACGTTTGCCCTGCTCTGGTCTGGCCCGCACTGTTCCGCGCTCCAGGCCCACTCCTTGCACTCCTTGCGGAACCTAACCTCTGCTATTTCTTCGCCCAGCTCTGCTCCTTGCATGCCTGCTGGCTCTTCCAGGAAAACCGCAGCGCCACTTACGAGTGACGGTCAGGCCGCAGCCTGCATGCCCAGGATCCCATCCCTGTCTCACGTTCTCCTCCTAAGTCAAACACGGTCGGACCCACTGAATCCCCCAGTGAATTGTCACACCTCCCCCCCGCCCCGTCGTCATGAGCACCATGCGATCCCAGCTTGGCATTCTTCGTGCTGCACTCCAGGGAGCGGTTTGGGGGCGCACAGGAGGCGCCGGCTGCATGAGCAGGAGCTGAATGGAGTCTGAAGACTGAAAAAGCCGCAGGCACGCCTCTCTATCAGCCTCCAAGTGTTCTGTGGGGCCCAGACACACCGGGGCTCCTTCAGCCCCTCACTTTAGGAAAGCGAAGGCCCGTGGGCCCCAGGAAGGAGCACAACACAGGGGAGCACTGTGGGAGGCTGAAGGTGCTGGCACGCAGCGGCTCCTGGCATCTGTGTCTCCTTGGCAGCCTGTTGAGCCAGGAGGGAATTCTCCTTCCTGCTCCTCGGGGTGGGGAGAGGACACCGCCGCCCTGTGAATGGGGCTCACGTCCTGGGAGGATGCTGCTTTGAGCTGGCTCTTGGGGTGATGCTGTGTAGTACAAAGCCCGGAACAGTGAGGGCGTTAGGACCAGGAGTGACACACATGCTCGCACGCTCGGCTCCCCCGTGTCTGGCAGAGGGTTCCTGCGGAGCTGCATCTGTGTGTGTGTGAGTGTGTGTGTGTGTGTGTGTGTGTGTGAGAGTGTGTGAGAGTGTGTGTGTGTGAGTGTGTGTGTGTGTGTGTGTGTGTGTGAAAGGAAACGGGGCAGTGCCTGCCGGCTTTACACGTGCTGCTCTGACCTGACTCAGGGCGTCCAAAGGCGGATGTCTGTCATCCTGGCTTGACCGAATCCCCAGACGTCCCACAGAACCTGGCCATTAGCATGGGGCTGACCACCAGAGCAGAGTGGACAAGAGCAGGTTGAGAGGGGGGCAAACATCACAGCTCAGAGAGGACCCGGGGGGCCCCAGGCTCCTGGGGAAGCGGGTCTTACGAATGCCCCTGGCAGCCACGTGGGATAAAAGGGGCAGTGACTGGCAAGACGCCTCTCAGCTGGAATGAAGAGCCCAGGTTCAATGACGAGCTTGACGGTCCCTTGAGCCCAACGAGGAAGCAGACCTCATCAGGACCTGTTGCTGTGGGCAAGGGGCTGCGCCATGCTCCCCCCGGGGAAGCGACCCAGGAGTGGACGCTGCAGGCTCCAGCTCCTCCTGCTCTTCCTGGCGCTGGGATGTGTCCTGATGACGGTGACCGTGCTGCGTCCTCCCCCGCCCACCGTGCGCCAGGCTGTCACAGCCCAGGCCAGCAAACACAGTTCTAACGCTGGGTATCGCCTGGACTTTGGGGACTCCCAGGAATGGGTCCTGGAGGCTGAGGCTGAGAGTGAGGAGTACACCTTCTTGGACGGCCTGCCCCCCTTCGTCTCCCTGCGGGAGGACCAACTGCTGCTGGCTGTGGCTTCACCCAGGGCTAGGAGGAATCAGAGCCAGGGCCGGAGACACCAAGGCAGCTACCAGTTCATCAGACACGCCAGCAGGAGGCGGGGTGAGGGAGCCCAGCAGAGGGATTGGAGGACAGAGGACGATGGGGAGGAATCAGAGGAGGAGGCACCGACCCCGCTCAGCCTGGACCCCGACAGCCTCGACAAGGTACTAGGGGCCGGCTGGCCCCTGAGGAGAGTCCTGCCTGAGGCCCGGCACCCGATGTAAGTAAGGCCCAGCACTCCCTTCCCAGTGGTAGCTAAGTCAGGGGTGCTGACTATCTGTAGTCTGCCTCTCCCGTCCTTGGCGTGGTACTCCCTGAGATGTGGTCCCGGGGCCCCATCAGCCTTGCTAGAATTGAAGATTCTCAAATCCCGTCGCAGACCTGCTCAGGCAGAAGCCCCGGGTCCATAGATCTGCCACTAGCAAGTCCCAAAGGAAAGAAGATCTCACTCCTCCACTCCCTTCCCAGTCCTGGGTTCTAGTCCCTCTGCTAGTGTGCCTGGGTCACAGGGTTCTAACGGGGACATGGACGCGGGAGTCCTCCTGCTGGAAGGTCAGCTTTTCACACTGGGTCATTGTTAGTGTCTCCTTGATCTGGGATCGAAGAAGCAACCGCAAAAACCTCAGACACGCTTCTGTGCTTCTTGCCATGAGACTGGCTTAAACCTAAGCTTTCCGCGTGCAACCCAGAGAGTCCCAGGCAGTCCCCTGCATGTGCTAGCTGAGTTCCGTGCCTGGCTGAACAGTGAGGAACAGAGAGGCCCGTGGCCTGCCTGCTGTAACACAGCTGGTACCCATCACAGTAGGAATTTGCACCCAGGGATTTAAGTGCCAGTCGGGTCTGAAGCAACACTCTCCACCACCCTCCTCAGTCCCAACAGGAAAAGAACAGTTCCCAATGCCCAAGAGCTCATGCGCTGATTACAGCTCAGCCGGCTGGGTGCCCTACCCCAGGGGTGGGATGTGTACGTGACGTGCAGATCTGTGCCTAGGGAGACGGTGGCTCATTCCCCAGCCCCCGGGTCCCTCCCCCCATGAATACAGATAAGAGATTGCTTGCCCAAATCCAGAAGCAATGTGGCTGGATAGCTAGAGTGGTCTAGAAGCCAGGGCTCTTTCCACAGCCCATCGAGCTTTCTGGAAAGCTAGTACATCGTCTACCCCTGGAAGCAAAAGGACGCATGTGCAGTGACGGCTGGAAGCCATGACTCTTAGGACCCGGCTTCCTCTCTGCCTGGCTGCTCAGGCACTGACCACAGTGAGCACAGTTGTCCTTAGCTCTGGAGGACTCACTGCCACAGTCCCAGCTCTGCTGTGAGGACTTCACACATTGACTTTAGAAGTTCTGCCCCGGAACCTACCCCAGTCCGGTTTCAGGCTCCCTCTGCTCTCACGGCACTCACAGGACAGGCACTAAACAGCCGTCAGCGTGTGTGTTTGAGCGCTGCTCCCCACACGGCGCTGAGAGTCTGCAGCAGGTTGGCACCAACCGTGTCTCAGCGTCCAGCACACACAGCCCTGTACAGAAACGACTGCTGGACGAAGGAACAGCTTTCCAGTCCTTTCCATTCATATTACCATTGGTCGAGAGCAAGAGTGAATGTTTTTATTCTGTTAACAAGAAACATTGGCTCTGGGGATGTGTGTGTGAGACTCTGTATCTCCAGAGCACTCTGCATACGCACACTTGTGGGTAAACTGCACGCGTGCTTCTACACATATGCACTGTGTGTAGAGTGTGCATTATGCTGCACATATCAAATAGGTGTGTGTTGTGTGTACTAGTTTGGGGTTTGGTATATACAGGTTGTGTGTGTGTGTGTGTGTGTGTGTGTATCATACCACTCATCATAGGACACAGGGGTGAGCTATTCTGGCCCGGTGTCACGTGTGTATGCATGTTGTGGATGCGTGCAGTGCATACATATATGTAGTGTATGTACTGTGCATTGGGGCATGTGTTGTTTTTGATGTGTGTTTGTGTAGCGTGTCTGTGTGCTGTGCTGTGACTGTTTTGTATGTATCACGTGCATCTGTGTGCAGAGTGCCAGTGTATATATTGTATGTGTTGCAAGTATCGCATGTATTGCACATGCACTGTAGGTGCACTGTATGTAAGACACATGTGTGTGTGCTGTGCATGTCTCACGTGGTGTGTGGACATGTGGTGTGTGCGTGCACTTTGTGTCAAAGTGCCGTGCACAGGGGTAGATGTCGTGTGCATGGCATGCGTGAGCATGCTGTGTATACATGTGGTATACGTTACGTGTTTCATATAAACAAGTTAGATGTACTGCGTCTATATGCACATGTGCACATTATGAAACAGGGTTTATTTTTCATGTGTGTGTGTTACATGTTGCAAGTGTGTAACGTGTTGCAAATGTTTCTTGCTACGGTCATGTGACTGTGTTCAAGTGTGTTGCCTGTGTTATGCTTGTGGTGTGGGGTACATGTGTGAATGGGGTGTTGCTGGTTCAAGCAGATACGGACAAACCAGGTGTGTTGTGATGTAAACAAGCCTGCACATTTGCGTATATGTTGGGCAGACAGCCTTGTTGTCTGTTTCTTTTCTCCATGGTAACCAGTGCATTTCAGTTTTCTGGGTCTTGCCCCCTTTCAACACTGAATGACTCCGGCTGTCAAGAAATCTCTCTCCATGAGGGGGAAACGCATAGTTGGGTTGGGCTCTCCATTTCAGGGTTCTCGCAGTTACCAGCTCTATGTAGTGGTGGATAGTGCCATCTGCTGGCCCCCTGCGTGAGTGCAGGCTGTGCAGCCAGAGCTTGCCTCTGCAGTCAGACTGCAGGGCCCATACTTCCCAGCCTTCTAGAAGGCTCCAGGATACCCCCAGAGTCTCTGCAAAGCCAGGCACAGCCTATTCTCTATCCAAGCGACAGTGCCCTCTTCCCTCCACTTTCCACTGGGTGGAAAGACAAGAAATGCCACATACGGAGCAACTGTCTGCTGCGTGGGGACCTGAGCTTTCTTCTCAGGGGTGGGAGACCTCTGCCTCTAAGGTCGTCTGCCGCACTCTTCCAGTCTCCAAACTTCCTGTAAGCTGACTCCTAACCCAGATATGTTCTTCTAACCTTCACCCAGACACCACAGTACCCTGGCTTTTGTCCACGCCCTTGCTAGGTTCCAGATCTCCTCTAGGGTCATGGCTGGGGGTCGCCTTGCGTAGGGGGCATTACCAACAATGCAAGACTGAACCAGTAAAATATTAGAGTGAGAGGAGGCGAAAGACAGGCTCTGGGGCCATGCATGACGGCGCAAGCCTGTGCCTCCTGCACCAGGTGACGGGAGGCCGAGGCAGGAGCACTGTGAGTTTGAGGATAGCCTGGGCTACCCAGTGAGTCCCTGCCTCAGAACAAATATCTCTGAAAGAGAGACAAAACTCTAGTGATCTTTTGGTGAGTGCTATTTACTCACTAGGGACCCCAATGCATGGGTTTATTTCCTTAATCACCTCCACAGCTCTGTGAAGTCGGTTTCACTTTATGAATGAGAAAGACCAAGATGTACAAAGGTGAATGGGTGCCCTGTGACCTGACAGCCTGTTTGGAATGGGTGCCCTGTGACATGACAGCCTGTTCGACCAGAGTGAGGCTCCTAACCACCATGATAGACTCCGAGGCTGCCGCTTCCCCTGCCCTTGAGAGCACGTCGGTGGGTGACTACCACAGCATCCACAGCAATACCAAAGATCTGAAGCTGCCTGGCAGCTCATCCCAGGACACTGGAGGGCTGGACGCAGCTTCAGAATGCCCATCTGGCTTAACACTTAATACTTACAGTGCCATCCAAGCACCCGGAAGGCTTGTGGCAGTCACAGGTTGGGGCATCCTCCCTGGGCTCCCGGGCACCACAGTTATCTGAAGACACATCCAACTTCAAGGGTCCTTGGAAATGCCCTACTGTGGGATGAAGCCAGACACAGAGGCCCCCAAGCCAGCATCCACGGGGCAGGTGACAATTGTCCACACTGCCAGGCTCCAACTCACTGGGTTAGCTGTACTCTGGGGAGAGACACACGCACGGATCACAACACACAGACAAGATAAAGACAGAGACCCCTGCGAGGAGCCAGGAGCTGCTGCCACCGGGGGCCCGAGGGTCACCCATGTCCTGCTCACTAGAGTCCCACAGCAATGACAACTTACAAAACTCTCCCAGGTCCCCCACCGAACCCCGCTTTGGTTGTTCTGGCTTCCAGTGTGGACAAGGAGGGAACCAAGATCCAAGAGGCTCCCGGGCAGGGAGGAGTGTTTCGCATCCCAGAGTCCAGGCCATGGGTTCTGCCAGGCTGTGCTTCATACCTGTCACCCAAGCCCCGGAAAGCTTGCTGTGGGCTCGGGCATCCTCCATGGGCTCCTGGGCGCTACAGCTACTCTGAAGATGCTTTGGGAACCCTGTGCAACGTCCCCGCTGTGGGCCAGGTTGTGGAGAGTAGGGATCCTTGAACTCCAGCATACCTGTGAACGTACAGCAGTGTGCTGACAGGCTGAGTGGGTTCAGGAAGCTGGGGCCGCAGCCTGAGATGCTGAGCTGCAGTGGTCCACGGGCCCTGCGTCAGCAGCCGGAGAGTCCCGAGTATGTGCACGGCAGGCTCACCCACCACGGCTGTTAAGACAGACATTTGGACTCTGTGCCCACTACACAAGTGAAGCATCCCAGAGAGGTGGCTCTAACACGCTGAAGACCAGGCCTTAATGGCACAAGGGGTCGGCAGTCTTGAAAAGCAGCGGGGAGCTGGGGAGGGGGCTCTTCTCCTGAGCCGCGATCAGAGCAGGGAAAGGGGGCACTTTGGTGTTGTCAAGCAGAAAGCAGTGTTACGATTCACAGGGGTCATTCAGTGCCCTGTGATGCTGGGGCATGCCGGGCAATGAGTGAGTCACTGGATGACTCTTGGCCATCTTGTGAATACAACAGTCTGACCTGTAAGAGACTCAGAAGCATGGCTGACGCAGCATCCGTCAGTCAGAGAGCAGTCTGAGAAGCAGAAGGAGGGGAAACAGGCTAGGCAAGGACGCAGCTTCCCCATTCCCACTGAAAGAGAGGACGAGACACATGCCATCAGCAAACTTCTGTACCTGGGCCTAGGTGGCCGCGTCATGAAGACAATCCCTCCTCCTGCCACACGGCTGCGGCAGAAATGGCAGCATACAACACACATTCCCAAAGTGCTTAGTGCTAGTGTGAAAGGGGCCTCCTCTGCACTTCCATAATTCAGCTGGCCTTGGGGACCTGCATAGAGGGTGTCAGTCTGTCTGCACACTGTTCGCTTTAACTTCTCCCCCCACCCCTCCCTCCCTCCCTACCCCATCCCTCCTTCCCTCCCTCCCTCCCTTTCTCCCTACCTCCTTTCTTCCTTCCTTCCTTTCTCTCTTTCTAGACAAGGTTTTTCTCTGTAGCCCTGGCTGGCCTGAAACTTACTCAGTAGACCAGGCTGGCCTTGAACTCACAGAGATCTGCCTGCCTCTGCCTCCCGAGTGCTGGGGTTAAAGGTGTGTGCCACCAGCACCCAGATGTGTTTATACCAGTGTTAGTTACCTGGTGTTGCTTCAAGTGGGGTTCCCAGACTTGTAGCATCAATACTGCAGACTCAGGAGCTCTACTCAGACAGGTGGGGTGAAAAATCTCCACTCTTAACATGATCCCTGGGGCATTCACACTCATGTTAAAGTTGGTGTTCGAGATATAGCTCAGCGGAAGGGCACGTGCCCACACATGGTCCAAGAACCAAACTCCAGTGCTGGCGGCAGGAATGTGAGGCGGGAGAGGTGGGTCAGCAGGTGACAGTCTGCACTACTCCCACAGATAGCCTGAGTTTGGTGCCTTGCGGCCGTGCCGGGGTATCGTTCACAGCTGCCTGTAAGTCCAGCTCTAGAGGGACCAGTGCCCTCCCCTAACCTCGGGAGGAACCTGTGCACACGTGTGTGGGGGTGCACACTCACACGTTTTTAAGAGTCTTTTCGTTTGTCAGTAAGTAAGCAGGTAGGCAGCAGACTTCTGTGTCAGTTGTATTTGATAACTCCTCATCTTAATTCACAATCTCTTCTCACATATACCCATATGATCTGAGGTCACTTTTCTGAAAATGCACTAAAATTACTTAAGCTTGCCTTCAGCTTTTACAAATGTTAATAAAAGTGTATTTAAATGCGTAGTCTCAGAGTGTCTGAGCTTAAACTCCTCCAGTGCTAAAGGGAGGTCCGCAGTGGATGGAGTTGTCGTCCCTATAAGAGCCTCGTGTAGAAGGCACGAGGCAGGCAGAGGACACCACCGTGTGCACAGGCTTCAGTCAGACCAGACCGTGCAGGTCTTCCTGTGCTCACAGGCTGACCTGGCCCTGCGGAGCAGTATTGTTTTATTGTCCTCTCTTTTGTCCCACATGGGCTTGTCCCACTGTTTTGTAATCAGGGCAAAGTAAGAGGTGTAATTCGTCTAAGAATGCTTAGCCACAGCCGGGAGGTGGTGGCGCACACCTTTAATCCCAGCACTTTCGAGAGGCAGAGGCAGGTGGATCTCTGCGAGTTCAAGACCAACC